CACCGGCCCCAGGGAGAGCCGCGCTCAGCCGTACCTCCAGCCCTGTCCTGCAGGTCCACCAGTGCCGCGTAGGTCATTGCCTTCAGCTGCGCATGGATGGAGAACCCCACACTCCGGCTGAGCCCTGCAAGGCCATCGGGCACCCGTCAGCATCTCATCCCAGTGGGAAGCCCGGGATGGGGCCTGCCAGTGCCCGGCACAGTGCTTACCACCCAGATCGGAGATTATCTGCTGTCGGGGCACCTCGAACTGGTCTACCACCATCTGCACCCCCTGCCAGGAGAGAAGAGCCGGTCGGCCGGGGGTAGCAGCCGCCAGGAGGGGAGGAAGCCCCACGTTGCCATTCGAAATACATTTGTAATGCAGCCGCACCACCTCCTCTCGCCTCCCAAACTACTCTGTGAGGGGAACGCAGCCATCCCTGGGCTGCACCCCGTGCCGGGGGAGGCCGCTCGGGGACCCACCTGGGGGACGTTGGCGATGTGCTGCCGCAGGGTGCGCAGGGTGGTCGGCACAGCCCCCAGCCCCGGCTCCATCTGCCCCTTCACCCGCTGGCTGGTGACGAAGGCGCAGATGACGCTGGTCCTGCCGGGGACAAGCAGGCGGTGACGGGGCTGCCCTGTAGAGCCTCCCAGCCTTGTCCCCATGGCACATGGTTCCCCCTACCCTGGGGCGAGGGGGACTCACAGGATGACGAGGGAGGTGAGGGACAGGCAGACCAGCAGGCAGTGGCGACGGCAGCCCAGCGAGCGCCGGTGGGCACGCAGGCGGCCCCCGCACCGTTGGCGGCTCCGGCAGTAGCAGAAGCACATCCCAGCCACCGGCATGGCCACGGTGAAGAGCAGTGCCACCATGGCGCAGGCGACATAGCCCAGCTCATACTGCACCACCTACGTTGACGGGAGAGCCCGGTCAGCACCGATGCACCCAGCTTTCGGGGTGCTCCGTGTGCCCAGGTGCCCCGTCCTAGGTGGGTGCCATCCCCGTGGAATCCCCCGCCCCACATCCCGGCTCACCTGCGATGTCCGCACCGAGCCGGGGTCGTTCAGGGCCGCCCTGAGCAGCTCTGCAAAAGAAACCGTGGCACGGGTAAAAGAGGTCCCACCCGATGCACCCCCAACCCTCCCCGGGCAGCGGGGCCAGGATGGAGGCAGTATCCCCCTCCGTGAAGCGGCTCAGGCCCCCCGGAGCAGCTCTGGACACGGGGATTGCAACTGGCAAAACCCCGGTGGTCCCAACACCTGTGGCGGTGGGGTCCCGGCTCCCCGGCTCAGGGCTCACCTGTGGGCAGGGGGTTTTGCTGGATGAGGTCCAGGCAGCGCCGGACGAGTCCATAGAGAGGATCGAGCGAGCTGGCTACTGTGGGCAGGTTTGCTGGATGAGGTCCAGGCAGCGCCGGACGAGTCCATAGAGAGGATCGAGCGAGCTGGCTACCCGGTGCAGTGCTGGCACCCGAATCTCCGTGTGCGTGTCGGTGAAGCGGAGGACGCTGCCGGGGCCGGTGAGATGGCATTGCTGGGTGCCGGCGGGATGCAGGAGCGCCCAAGCCAGCAGCAACCCGGCCGCCCGCATGGCTTCGGCGGCAAGGAGAGAGCCGGGGGGGCTCCGTCAGCCTGCGAGTGGGCAGAGGGGCATGCCCGACCCTGGATGGCTCTCTCTCCGGCTCGGCTCACTGCTCCGGGAAACCTGCCTGACGGGTCGGCCGACGCACAAAGCCCAGACGCTGCCGTGGCTTGTTCCCTCGATGGGCTCCCCGGGGCGGCTGGGCTTGGCGGGGCTGCGTGGAGGCGTCTCCCAAACCATCCCAGGCCTGTTTCACAACTCCCGGCATCCCTGAGTCACCACCGTGGGGTCCCCACGGTCAAGGCCGTTCCCAGAACGGATGGGAAAGCCCCCCCGGGGTTTTGGGGAGAGGGCCAGGTGGCAGTGAACCCCCTGTCCTCGGGCTGGAGGGTGCTCGTCCCCGCCGCAGCCACCTTGGAAGGAGGGATCTGGGATTTGGGCATCACTCGGGGGGGGGGGAAGCCCTTTGTGGGCGGCCTCATT